TGCTGTATAGATGCCAGCTGTCTTCCTGGGAAAGATGTTGTAGAAATTGATATTTAGGGTAACTTCTTTTCTGTGCTGAGGCAGGGAATGGGCAGTCTGCTTTACAGCCCCCAAACCACTGGTAAATGTACACATGACCTGATGTTAAATATTGCAAGTTATGTCATAAAACAGTAGCAGGGTGGCTGTGCTATTCCTGTGGGTTGCAGTAGGATTAACCAGCGGGGAGGGAGTTTTCCTTTGCTTCAAGCAAAGAAAGAGATCCTGGCCTCAAGGGCGAGCGCAGGGGCAGGGTATAGGTAGTGCCAGCAGCCAAAGCTGGATGGCTGTTAAAACTGGGGAAAAGGTACCCGTCAGGAAGGGGAAATGCAGGTGAGGATCGGGAATACCGTGGAGCCTGGGAGGAGCAGCCCGTCGGGCCGCGAGCAGGAGCCACCGCGGTGACACGGGCACGGAGGGGTGGAAGTTGGAGGCTCACGGGCCTCAAATCAGCCCGACCTGCGAGGTGTTTTCATACCCGAGGTATGTCATTACCTTCAGTATTATTTCCTTCCTTGCGTACTTTTTTTGAGCAACACAGACAGTAAGCTGGGAGGTTTTGGGGCTCGAAAACGCTTGGCGCTGCCTGTAGTTCTGCACTTCCAAAATGCAACTTTCTTTTTATTATAAAAATAACTCTTTGTTCCGTGGTGGCCGTGGAAGCCTGTCTGGTTTCTGTGCCGCATATCGCGGGGAGACAGGGGCAAGGGCAGCGACGGGGTCAGCCTGGACGGGCTCGTCCAGAAGTGTCCATTGCCCTGGTTGTTCTAAATACTCTGCCAAACTCCGACTTGATGCTCAAAACAGGAGCCCTGCAACCGATTAACGGGTATTAGCAATGTTCAGCATTATAGTATTAGCTCCTGTTTAACAGACAACAGGTATCTGACGTATGTCACAGAGGTGTGTTTTACACAAACAAGTAATTTTAATTGTTTATGGAGCTGAGCTTTACTATCAAACTGATCATAATGTATTAAGCCTCCAGAGAGGCATTTCCTGAGCTATGTATCCCTAATTGGATTTGTTTAGATTTGCATCCTGTGTTGTTAGGCCTTTGAACTTAAATCTTCTTAATGATTGATTCCTGAAATGGCTGTGTGTATCTTTTTAGTTAACAAAAAGCATGCTTTTTGTTACACCATTCATCATTTTGATGAATAGCCAGAGTATTTCCAAAAGAAAATTCCCTTTCTGTTTTAAAAAATGAAATCAAGCAGATATGAAAGGCACTTGTAAGCGCAAGAAATTGTGCATTAAAATTTGCCTTAGAAAAATCAGGTTTTTGTGGAAGCTCTTCTGCAGTGCCATTATGTATCTTCCTGTGTGTTTCTGCATGCGTGTCCCCAGCGTGTTCCTGCTTTCTCTCTCCCTTAGCTGCTGATAACTTACTGCTACAGAATCAATAGTTTATTTACAAAACTTGACATAAGATGCAACACTGCTATTCGAATGTTTTATGAGAAAGCCGACATTTAATCTATTTCTAAAAAAACCTTTGTCGTTCATTGCTTTTTGAATGTACAGCTCGTCTAGCAGCTCCTTGGTGAATTACCCAAGTGCTGTAGGATCTCTGCCCTAAGTTTATTTTGTGCAACAGAAACAGTGGCCCAATTTGGATGTTGTTATTGCAGTGAATGTGCCATAGGGAGCTGTTTTTTTGTCTTCAGCCGACTTCCCTGCTGGACCTGCTTGACCCCTATGTTTGCTGTGTGTTGCAGCTGCCTTGGTTTGGGTGCTAGCACCACAAGTAGCTGTTATTTCTGTATCTCAAGATAATCTGCTGCAGGAGTGAATGAATCCACTGCCGTTTCCAAGGGGAGAAACCCCTTGCTAACAGCATGGTGCAAAAGGAAGGTCTTGTGGGAGAAACCAGCCCCTTAGGAACCTCTGGAGTTGAAAACTAGCTGTCTGGGACATATTTTAAACTACTCAGGTCATTGCTTACTAAAAATGTCAAGTTCACGCTGTTGTAAGTAAAATAGTCTGCATTTTGTCGGTCATCGCTGTGATTAAGGTTGAACAGATCCCAAAATATCTTTTCAGCGGTGTTTTTAGATTCAGGCCAAAGCAGTAAGGCCTTTGGGTCCAAGCTGAGCGCTGAAGCAGCAGCAAGGATCGCGGGAAGCCTCGCCGTTTCCTTTGGGCTGGATCTGGCCTGCGTTGCTGCAGCGTTTGCAGGGTTTGCGCCGGGGCCTGGCTGAAGAGCAGGGCTGGCTCAGCCTGGCCTGGCTGACACGGCCTCTGCATTGGCTTCCGTGCCCCTGCGGGCGCTGGAGCTGCCTTTGAGGGAGCGGAGGGGCCGTATCCATCGGATGCTGCGCTGGGAAAGCGCTGCAGGAAGGGTTTCCTTGCGGCGCTCCCTGAGCTGCCCTTCCCGGCCTTGTTTCTGCTTCCCAAGGACGACCTGAGCCCTGCGAGCAACCCGGGACCCGCCTGCGAGGAGTCCTTGGGGGTTTTGGCAGGGGTGCGTTGCACTGGTCGCGTAACTCTGGTGGTTGATGTCGGGTTTGTGTCGTTATGACTGATCGAACAGCAAGCTCGACTGGGTAGGAGTGCTGAATCTTTGCAGCTTTGAACTGAAAAGTGGCCAGTGGTTCATGACCTGAATTTACCTTTTAGATGCATTTAAAAGTTGTTATGGCTATGTCTTTTGATCTGCAGTGATGAAATCAGGGTATCAGTAGGTAACATTTCCCTAATCGTCCTTAAAAGCTTGTAGGCAAGGTCTAACTAGAGTTACAAATCACAAGGTGAGCAAATGTTTTGTAGGACATTTTGCGCAGCGCGGCTCTCGTATACATTTAAGAGGGTTGCGTGCTGCCTTTATTTTTGTTTCTTTGCTAAGACACGTAGCCTCTTCCTGCTGGTTTTTATCATCCTTTCAGCACTTATGCACAGCTGTGCCAGGATGTCGCAGCTCGGCGCGTACTCACGACTCTCCTCACTAACTGCATTAATGTGTCCCTTGCTGACGAGGGCCTGGGCTCTGCTCCAGCTCCCACAGGCCAGTTCTGGCCTGGAGCGGCAGGTTTTCTTCCCAAAATGTCAGTGGTGATGCGGTCGTGTCTCGGTTAGCGGGTCTTCTCTTTCCCACCTTCCCTGTTGATTTAATAAATGCCCAATGTGTTTAATCTGTGTTTTCCACTGTATTCGAAAGTGGACAGAGCGGCGGGATCAAGGAGAGAGGAAACTTCCCTTGCGAATCAAGTCCTGCTCCTGTGTTATCAACAGCATCAAGGGCAAGGAATAAAAAAGCTACGTCACTCTTCATCCAATGTGACACACAGTTTGTCTTTCAGATGTGTTTTTAAGTGCATGTACCATTCACAACCTTTCAGGTATTCATCTATCGCTGATTTCCATTCTTAGCTGTGTGAAACCTAATTTCACTTCCATTCGTATCAAAGCTCTTGCAAAACTGCTGCACTCCTTGAACTATCCTTACCATATAATTTTAGTTTAAAATCAATGACTGGTTAATAAGCAAAAACTTGAGAAGGGTGTTTGATACAGCTCCCAAATGCTCCAAATTTGCCAGTTTTGTGTATTTTACAATAGTAAAGTGCATCTAGAGCATCAGGAATCTGTAGTTTTTAAGGTTGACCAAATCCAAAGAAAATTTCTGAGTGTGAAACATTCTCAGTAGAAAACAGGGGCTCTCAGATTTTTCTGCTGTGGTTTAAAGCATAGTTATTAGAAAATGTTAATAGATACTAACCTGATAGAAAGGTCTAGAGGAGATAACCTGCATTGGGAACACCTTTTACTTTATGCTGGCTCTGCAGCTTAACGCAGATCTCTTGAGATTTTCCCTGACACATGTTGATGTCAGTAGCTTTTCTAAAAGGGGCACCGTTAAATCCTTAACTTCACGCCGAGACTCCTTGGGAGCTTTGCTTTGGGAACAGGGCTTCCGAAGGACGATACTCTCAGGCAGCTGTAATTTCACTTCCTTGAAACGAATCAAAGGCTGTTTTTCCCATGTTGAAAGGGGGTGGGTTGGTGGTTTGCCTGGAGCAGGGCTTTGAAGTGGCAGGGACGGAAGGCGGGCCCGGTTATCCCCGGGATGGCCGGGAAGGGGCGGCTGCCGTGCGGAGCGAGCCCTTTCCCGCTCCGAGCCACGCTCCGGCGGCACCTCCAGGTGCCTGCGCTCCTCTCCTGGCGCAGGGACACTTCCTCCTGGTTTGTCTCAGCACCCATGTAGTAACAAAATTGCTCTTTCCGGCTTATTTATTTATTTTGTTTAATATCAAATGAACGTTGCTGCAGTGGTATGATAATCTTAATGATCTTATTTTTTTCTGTTAACCCATATGTAAATCTTGTAGCTAAAAAGTCTCTTTTTTTCCCCTAAGCACAGTGCAGTGAGCCGGCTGTGTGCAGTATTTGAGCCTGTCAGAGGGAAGGTGGTTATTTGCACGTTCCTAGGGACAGACTTCCAGTTTTGCAACCCCTGTACCGCGCCGGGCGCGTTTCCCATACAGCTTTTTATCCAGAAGAGATAAATGGTGCAGAGGGTGCCGTTTTCAGTCACTGATTTTGCTAGGAACTAGCTTCGTTCTTACAATAAGTCTCCGGTGATTTTCAGCACATGCAGCTGAGGACTGGCCTTGGGATGAGGCAGGAGCTGGATCCTTGCAGTTGCTTTTTGAGGCTCATGGAGCTCGGAGGGGCCTCGTCTCCCACGCGGCCAGGCTTTCGCTTGCTTGCTCCGGCCGTTAACAAGGAGGCCTTTGTAGCTCCTGTGTCTGTTGAGCCACACGGGCATTGCTTGTGCATCTGAGAACGCAAGTTCTCCCCTTGTCTGCCCCTTTCTTAAAATAAAGCACTCAGTAAATTCACGTAACCAAGAAGTGTTTGTAATTCTTCGTGCTCTTAGTTATTTTGAGCCGAGAACCCTCAAGCTTTTTACCAAGTATCTCTTCAGCTCTCTGTTTTATCTCTTTTTCAGGCTAAAGAATTTGCTGAAGGTCACAGAACCTGAGGCCAAGCTGGATCTCGTGACGCTCAGTCTTGGCTTTAATCACAGACCGTTCCTGCTTTTCGTGCTGTAAGATGAACTGATTTTGATACAGCCAAAGGTTTCTCTGTACATGTCTCTCTGTAGTTGGTTTGTCTTTCCTGTCGGGATAAATTTGGTCATGCCGCATGCAAAGAAGCAGGTATCTTCTCTGGAAAACTATGCCACAGGTTTTTAGGGAGGACAGATTTATCTTTGCTCATGACTTCAGGCTAATGTCTTTAAAATAAGACCATTTAGAACATTTTCAAAGTAACTGATTTAGAAGCCAGCTTTCATGCCTCGAGCTTATAACTAGAGATATAAAAGGTAATCACTAAAAATAGGAAGGAAAATAAATGTTAAGTTTTTCCAGTATGCATTTCCCCACCAAAATTGTTTGGCAAAGCCAGACATGCAGTTTATTCCTGAGAAATATTGAGGAGAGGCTGACTTTAAAATTAGCCTGCAGGATTTCTGTTGTGCTGGAGTGATTTTTGAGCTGGAGCTCATGGAAGAAAATACCCTTTACTATGTGCTCGGAGCGGGAAGTCCAGCTGAAGAGCCTGCCTGTTCTCTTTTCTCATTTCACATTATTGGTGATTTTCATGCATTTTCGAAATGCAGACATCGCTTCCAATTTACAAAAATATATTCTCAAGAGTAGATTCTGCAAAGGAGCAATCATGAGAAACGTGTGCCGCGTGTTGTGAGGGTGTGCACAGCCAGGCCCTGCCTGGCCTCGAGGTGACAGCGGCGCTTGTTCCTTGGGTGCTTGGAGAGCTACAGGTGGAAGGGGTTCGGTGTTGCTGTCCTTCCATTGCTGTGCAAGTGCCTTTCAAATACGCGCTCTCTACCCATCTGTAACACAGTTATAGATGAATAATATTATATATGATACATTTATCTTACTAATATATGGCACAATCTACATAAGAGGCAAAACACACTGAACAGAACTGAGACATTAAAGCCCCCCCGTGCCATAATTATATAAAACGATCTGTTCTGTGGCTGTGGATCCTTGCTAAGGGCTTAAAAACCGACTCGTCGTCCCCCCGAGGAAGCAGCGGCCCTGCTGCGGGGCAGGGGGGGGGGGGGGGCGCGTCCCCGCGCCGCGGCGGGGCCGGCTCTGCAGCTGCCGCCTGCCCAGGGATTAGCTCTTTCCCAGGAACTCTTTGTCACGGATCGTGGGCGCAGTATTGCAAGGTGCAAAAGTGTCTTTTGGTCTCGCCCCTTCCTTGCAAATTCTCACTTCTCCTTTAGGTGGCAGGATGGCTGTAAGTATCATAAGAAAAACATGTCAAGAAGGGTGTTTATAATCCGTGCTTCATTTTAGCGCTGATGGTGTTTTCTGGCTGCGGGCTGGGTCCCCATGTCTCCTGACGAGCAGGTTTTGTTGGCGTTTCCCAGTGTGGCGCAGGAAGGGGTTTGGAAGCCCCGTGCGGCGGCGGCGGCGGCGGGTTTCCCCGGGCGGCGGTGGGCCCCCCGCCCCGCAGCGGCTGCAGCGCCCGCGCCTCGCGCCGCACTGCTGCCTGGAAAAGGGATGTTCGGCCAGGGAATTGTCCCCTTCTCCAGGAGCAGCCAGCGGGAGGAGTGCTGAGTTTGCCCTTCTTAATCAGAAAATCCTTGGGTTCTGCTCTCTGTTTTTTCAGCTCTGGGCACGTAGATTCTTTATTGTCAGTGCTGGGTGAGGAAGAGATGCCCACAAAGGATAGGTCGGGTCGTAGGTGGGCAGAAGTTTCCTTTAGATGGAAGTTTCCTTTGGTTCCTGCCCCTGCTGCCGCAGGCAGCCTTTGCCGTGTTCCGGACTCGCTCCCAGCCCTTATGGATCTAAGGAACTGAGCAGAGCGGAAAGTCTGATCGGTCAGTGCTGCTGCACAGCGAAGGGGAGACCGGCCTGCAGGAAGGAGGGCCCCATCCCCGGCCACTCGGACCCCGGGAGCCTCCGGTTCCGTCTGTCACGGTGGCCCTGCGCCTCCGAGGCACCCAGGAAAGGAGAAGGAAGTCGCCCGGGCAGCCCGGGACGCAGTGCATCCCTGCTGACGTGGCGGCCAGGGGAGCTCGGTGCTTCGTGAGCTTTCCAGAGCTCTTGGAAGCACGGACACGGGCTCGTGGAGCTTCTGAACCGCGTGCCTCTCCAGCGCAGAGCGCCGGGCGGCTTGGCGGGTGGCAGGGGTTTTAGGAGAGTCCCTCAAGACCTGAAAACCAGAGCCATGGAACATGGGGGTGTTTAAGGCGTGTGTGCAGCGTTGCCTGTGCTCGTGTGCTCGGCTGTGCTGCGTGGTGCTTGTTTCTCACCCAGCTCGGGGCTGAAACTCTGTGTGGTTTCTGGCTGGTTTACGTTCTGCAAGTCGCAACGAACCCGGGCCAGGAGTCATGACTTTCCCCACAGGAAAAGCAAGAGGCAGCATTCAAATAGGGCCTGTGCTTCAGGCCCAGCCAAGCTCGCAGCTTCCCACAAGTGCCTGGGAAAAGGGCGAGCGAGCGCCGGAGCCTCCCGGCGCTCCGAGCCGGTGGACGCTGCCCCGCTCGGGCGGCGTGGGAAATCATCTGCTTTTGTGCAAACGCTGCTTGCTGCTTCCCGCGCAGCCTTCACCGCTCCGCCGCTGCTGCCGAGCGCTTCTTCCAGCCCGTCTGCGTGCTCGAACACCCGGGACGAGCTCGAAGCTCCTCTGCGGACACGGCTTTGTGGTCAGCCCTGCAGCTGCACTTAGTGACCGGCGTCTGGGCCACCAAAGGGGCTTGTTATCTCACCCTAAGGAGAAATCTGGGGCGTCTGGCTGCGAATCTGCTAGACTGTTTGTTTCTACCAAAGAGCAAAATAATTTATGGAATGGTGTTTGTTTGTGGCTTTCCTAGCGCTATCAAACGGGCAGCAGCCGTTCTGTCACACCACAACCCCTTCTCAGTGAATTTTGCTCTCTACTGCTGGTGGGTCCCAAGGGATGATCCCTCTGGGCGGGCACAGAACAGTGACATTAAAGCTACGTACATTTTGCATGCTTTTACATGCCGTAATTTTTAGCTTTGTCGTTTTATGCTGTGTTTAATCTGCTTTAGTGTTCTGTAGTTTTGAGTTGTTCGATTTAAACTGTTTTCTTTCAAAAGAAGTAGTAACAAGATGCTGTTTTGACCCTCCTGTGGCTCTCGGTGCAGTTTGGCCTTCGCGGGCCTGGGACGAGCAGCCGTTTGCAGCGCGGCGCCGATTCCCGCGTGTGCTTTAGCAGCCCTGATTTAATTACATTTCACTCAGCAGGTGGCTCATGAGCCCTAGTCTGAAAGAGTAAAGAAGACAGATTGGTCTTTAATTATCCCAGCTGGAGCCCAGCTGTAATACCCCGCGGTGTACCTGCCGAGGCCGCTGTTCTGAATACTTGCAGCATTTTAGCCTTGTCACTTCAAGCCTGCAGGAAGAAATAGGGCAGTTTATTAAAATCAGTCTGTGGGGATTCTTAGGGAATAGGGGAAGACCCACCTGTTTATAGATTTTCTTCAGAGGGGAAGGAAAAAGGCAAGCGTACATGTTGCATGACATGTGCCTTAGAAAGGTCTTTCCTTTCTCCCCCTGGTAGTGTAACCTTTCCCTAGCCAAGTGCAGCTGTCAAGCACCCCCTTTTGAAGGTCCCTATTAAAACAAACCCAAGTCCTTAGTTTCCTATGGAGGAGAAGGTATGTTCCCCAGAGGCTGGGCCAGGCCTTCCCACCGGCTGGTTTGGTTTCTTCACTCATTTGTTTACCCTGCTGTTAATTAAAGAGTCTCAGCCCAGCATGTGCTTCTGCACGTCTGAAATACTTGGAGAGGGCAGGCGGTTTTGCTAGTTCCTGGTATTGGTACCGTCCTGGTAATGATTTGTTTCGCTTTTAACAGCTTCTGGGAAGAACTGCTGCTTTTGTGTGTGTTTTGTGGGGGGATTTTTGGTTTTGTTTTTAAGGTGCTAGAATTTGGGGTCTCTTTGCGATGGAAGAGGGATGATTAAAGCTGCTGCAAGGCGTAATGCAGCTGGGCATGTTGCCTGTTGCTGCCTGGGCGCAGCCTGTGTCCTCGTGTAAGGTCACCAAAAGCCTCAGGTACACACATACAAGTGTGTGTGTGTGTGTGTGTGTGTAAATATATATATATATATATATCCTTCTCCAAATTCGTCAAATTGCTTCTGATCTGGGTGCCTTCCCAACGTGATGTGTCCTGCACAGTGTTGGGGAGATGAGGGCTGTCCCTTACTGCACCCGTATCAGCAGCGAGTGCAGCGAGTCTCTACCTGCTCTTGTGTCTGGCTGCTGCCCAGGCGCACGGAGCAGAGGGAATAACGACATGGGCAGCGATATTTGCTACCCACTTGTCTTATTTAGATGGATATTGAAGACCTTCCTGGAGCTTTGTCTTTGATGCATTTAAAAGAGAAAGCAGTGGAGGGATAGATGATGGTGGAGGAACGCCTGGTCCCTTGGTGTGTAAAACACCCTGTGATTTTACGGATTCGGGCACGTGTTTGGTGTCTCCGGGCAGCCCTGTGCTCGCTCGTGCCGCGCTCATCCCGCCGGGAGCTGCCGGAGTGCGGGGGGAGACGCGGAGCCGTTTCCCTCGCAGATCTGCAAATCGTGTTCAGCTCGTTGCTGTTGTCCAAAATCAAATGTAGGCGAGAATAAGCTCTGCAGCTTGAGACATCCCGAGCAGCTTGTTTAACAGGGGAGGTTGCCAGGAGCTCAGGGGAGAGCAGTGTTACTGGGTGATGACCTAATTGTTCATAAATCTCCTTGTAGAAAAGAATTAGTAATCTTAGGAGGACTATTAAAGTAATGCTGCTTATGTTTGTCTGAAGAAGAGAAAACTTGGCAGCCTATTTTTTTTTGACATTACCGCAGCAGCCCTGTGCAGAGCCTGCAGGTTCTGTTTGCCTTGTTTTTGACCTGCACGTTGAGAATCCAGTTCTTGCCGTGACAATATCTTGACCTACATCCTTAGAAATGCTAATTTTATCAAAAGATGACCCGAAGGATGAAGATACTGTGATAAAGTGGTAGCTCATCTGGGTTTACTCTGTGCTGAAAGCAGGATCCAGCACTTTCTGTCCATCCCTGACAGATAGGGAAACTATTTTGACCTGCCTTTGTGCGGAGCTGGAAGGAGCAGGGAGAGCAGCGAACGCAGTGCTCCTGTCCCAAGTTCTGTCTCTGTGTTAGCATTTCTGTTCCAGTCAAAACAAACTCCCCAGAAGGGAAACTTCTTCCTAAGTCTTATTTTTTTTGCAGAGAAAACTCTCTAAAGTGGCCAATAGTCTCCTATTTGTTATCTTAAGTATTACAGTTCCAGCTGTAACGGCCCTGTTTTGTGTTTGCAGGTGTCCCTTCTGGAGCACGTGAACTGACTTTGCACCAGGAGCAGGCTCGCCTTTCCGCGCTGCTCGCACCCTCCCTGGAAAAAGAAGGAAAGGGGAGTTGTGAAACGCGGGATTGCCAGCCCCTCCTCCCGGACCGCGCGTCCCCAGCCGCCGTTTCCCGACGGAGGTACCGCGCGGTGTCCTGGCGCGGGCGGTATCCTGCGCGGTGCCTGCGGCGGGGCCTGCACGTTCCCTCCCCCAGGAGAGGGGCTTTGGGGGCAGCTGCCTCCTCGGGAGGGCCGGGCAGCTGCTCACCCGGAGCGAGGCCCCAGGAAGCGCTGGGATTAGGGAGCTCGGGCTGCGGCGCTGCCATTTGTAAAACTGCAGCGCCGCAATGGGCAAGTGGCTCAAGGGCAGTTTTCCTTCCATTAAGTACAGACACAGCCGTGTAAGTGAGGGTCCTGCTGGGGCATTTGTGCACAGAGTGCAGAACCGCGTTGCTGTCTCGCCCAGGCAGAGGTCAGGATTGAGCAAGGAGCAGCAGATCCAACAGTGTGTTCCGGTGGCTGGTTTCCCCTTGCAGTCAGTTGCTTTCAGTGGCAGAAGTCTCCATCCTTGGTTGAAATGTGGACGTGGGTGTGGGCAGGACAGGCCACGATTACAATTTCTGTGTGGTGGAAGGAGGCTGTTGCAGCAAAACCAGTCGTCGTGCCCCATGCAGCGCCCAGTCGTGCAGTGAACGCGGGAAGCATCGACTAGAGAAGGCAAAAGCTGTGTCTGCTTCTCCTGCCTTTGTAGGAGCTGTAGTTTGGCAATTAGCTTTGCAGTAATTAAGTTCACCAAATGATGGGGTTAGATGCCCCAGAAATGCATAGTGCTGCTGGTAACGCATCTGGTAAGACGTTAGCAGCTCCTGTTGCTTCTCCCAGCTC